ACAGGGCGAGATCAAGTACGGCAAGCGAGGATAAGGGCTCTTGAGAGCCGTCCGTATCCTTTTATTGAATTTTAAATGTAATGTTAGTTCAGATTACTTGTTGAACGTTTGGGTTGAGCAACTATGTGCTTATGTGAATTTTACTGATCTGCATGAGTGTACCTCATTGGGCATAAGCTCACTCCATTAAATTTTATTTTCCTTACAAGGAACCACTTTCGGGGACTATGATGTTTTGAAGCACGAGTTGAGCTAGTTTTAATATATTTTGTAAAGCTCCTCGATAGTTGGAAAAATCCTAAATATATTTTGATCTAATTATCTTCCGTTTGTTTTGTAAATTACAAACATATGTGTATAACACTATTTAACCCTGTTTATGTGTCCAATTTGGTTTGGAAATATTTTTCGAGTTATATGACATGGCACCCACTATTCATCGACGGTTTTGAATTTCGTTTGACTATTTTGCGATTTTGACTTGTTTGAGCACGCTTTTATTTTCTCGGAACATTTTAGACATGTTTAACTGCACCGTTAGTCCTGACGAGAGTTGGGCAGGCAGTCCGCTAACCTCTTTGGTTCGCCTTAGGGGAAGGTGGGGCTGTCACAGGTGATATCAGAGCCTAGGTTTGAATTGGCCTGGGCGTGTTAGAAATGCTCGACTTGAGGATTATTTTGATTGTGTCCCTTAAGATTATTTATGACTATTTACTCTTTTGGTGTAGGATGGGCAGGCATAGTGGGCCTAGTGGTAGCCCTACTGGTGAGCGACCCCGTGGAGTGCTTCCGACGATTAAGTACCAGATTCGGCCAAGAGGGGTCGTCGTACGTTGGAGTCCGGCTAACTGCCTCCGACGTTGTGAGTGCCGTCACACTTACGCCTACCCTAACACCTTAGTGTTGGCTGCGGTAGAGGAACGAAAGGAGTTGGCGAAGGATAACGCTAGGCTTGAGGCCGAAGTGAACCAACTAAGGGCAGCTAACGAGAAACAAGCCGAGCGAATCAAGGAGCTAGAGTACGACGTGATCGAAGGTCAAGATAGGGTGGACGACCTTTGCGCCCAACTTGGAGAGGCACGTGAGCGTATGACTAAGAGAGCTAGGAAGGTTAGGGTTCGAGCCGAGTCGATCTTGAACCTTTGCGACGATTTGCTCGAGGAGGAGAGTGACGAGGCTTCGTGTGCGGGGGGCGAGGTTGGAGGTGAATCCACCCCGTCGGGTGGGTCCACTAGCCCGACAACGAACTGAGGAGTTAGTCTTAGGGTTTTTTATGGTTTTGACTATTGTATATAGGATGGATAGGGAATGGTAGACTTGGGAAAGAACTTTAGCCAGCCATTTTTGTACGTTTGGGAATGGTTTTGACTTGTTTGAGCGCGCTTTTATTTTCCCGGAACGTTTTAGATCGTGTTTAACTGCACCGTTAGTCCTGGCGAGAGTTGGGCAGGCAGTCCGCTAACCTCTTTAGTTCGCCTTAGGGGAAGGTGGGGCTGTCACAAAAAATGATAAAAAACCCTAAAAAATTGAAAATATGCATGAGTGTATTGATTGTCACACAGACATGATCTAACGCGCGAACGGTCCCTAAGGGTCTAGCGTTGGACTAGCCCATGTCTATAAGTTCTTACTACCGTTGGACTAGTGAGAAATTAGAAAATGAGGGGCACAACTAGCGTTGGACTAGTGTGGAATCGGAAAACGAGGGCCACAACTAGCATTGGACTAGTGTGGTGACGTCATGCATTTATTACAATCAAATAAATTATGTAAAATGTAATAAAGCAAATAACACATTGATCACATATAGTACATAGCACATAGGCATGATATCCAGATGCAAGACCCTAAGAAAGCGAGTAACACGTAACACACAAGCATGCAAAACACATAAAGCAAATAAAAACAAATTGGGACCTAACTATTACATTAGGGGGCCCTACCACAATCTGAAAGGGGTGAAGAATGAAATAAATTAGATAATAAGCTAACTATTACAATTTTGGCATTAAATGCCTTTCCAATAACCAAAAATTAAATTAAAATAAATGCACAAAATTAAAACAAATAACGTGACTAAATAAATAAATAAATAAAGGAAATAAAATAAAAAATTCAAAAATCATGCAATTACACACATAAAGTCACATAGGAGCACACAGTATCAGGTAAATTCAAAATAAAGGATTAGAGTGTACCTCCCTAGAATTAGTGACCTAATGGGATGAAAATTTTCTTATTTACCCTCCAAAACAAAAAGAAAAAGTCAAGGCATCACTTTAATTAACAATAATCACATGAAATGGAAATAAACACAAAATTAAATCAATTAAAGCATTCAAATGAAAGTAAACAACCCCTATTCAACAAATTAAAACAAACAAGGACTCAATTGAAAGAATTAAAGAAGTTTGAGAGGTCAAATTATTATTATTACAAATATTAGGGGTCTAAATTAAAATAAATTAAAATTAATGGATTAAGATGAAACCTACCAACAAAATGATACAATTCGCCAAAAATAAATGAAAACCTATTTGCTATAATTAAACAACAAAATTACTCAAAATTTCATTAAAATCCAAATCAAAACTAAAAATTTATCAAAAATCACTAAATCCTCAAATTCCATCCTAAAATTCCTAAACAATCTGTCCAGAAATCACATTAAAATATACCAAAGGAAATTGACATTTAAAAGGGACCAAATTTGATTGATTTTTCCAATTTTTGGGCCAAAGTAGCATTACTTGAAAAATTAGGGGGTAATGTGCAATTTCTGACATTTTTCATGCATTTGGTTCGACGACTTCATCTTCTTCAGCAACAATTCTCTGCAACTAAGCTCTCAAATGCAATCTCCTTCTTATTCAAATGCAAACTAATGTCTCAACTAACAACAACTTGGACCAAAGCAACAAGATCACCGAGCCTTTCTTCACTTTTTGACCATAAACTCTCATGCTTAAATACAAAAATTCCAAGAAAAAGGACATGCAAATCTGGAAACATTTTCGGCCCCTTTTTGGGTTTCATGATATAAACTTCCTTTCGCATAAAATCTCAACCAAACATCAAAACTTTAATCTAAGTAACAAAACACAGAATTTTAACATCCAAACAAGCAAAAAAAATTTCAGAATAGGAACATGCAGCTTTCGAAGCTTTCTTCTTTTTCCTGGTTTCCTTTCACTGCAACTTTGCAGCAAATTAGTAGCCCAGGAAGCTTGCGATAGATTTAAACATAGCTTCGAACCCAACATTCATTGGACTCCATAAAACCACCATCTTATTATGAATACACAGCCATTGAAGATCAAACAAAGAAAATCATGCGGGAAATGGCAAGAAAAAGAATGATGCAATTGGCTTCGGATGAAACCAGCGATGGAACCATCAGGAATCAAAACTTCCCAACTACATTACCTAAATCATCTAACATCAAACCATTTTCAATCCCTGTGGGTAAGCTAAAACCATCACAGGCCAAATTTTTTTGCAACAGAGCTCATAAAAAGAGTAGCTAGCAAACCCATATACAACTGAAACAAACTCATGCGATAGCTCAATCAAATCTCATAAAAAGTATTGGATTAACAAACTTAAAAGGTGTTCATTACCTGCAAGTAGTTGAGGACTGAATCAACGTGAGGAGAATGAGGAACTCGCGCCTGGAGTGTCAGACACAGAGCAGAAATTTTCGTTCGCCGTTCCTTAAGTCTGGTGAAGGCAGCAGGTTGAGGTCTCGATTTGTGGATGTTACAATGGGTTTTTACAAAAATGTATAGCATGAAAGTGCTTCCCTAACTGACGTAGTTTACCTAGAAAGCAAGATTTTATCACGAAAACCCTTGATAGACCAGAATCCGGCAAAGAAACTGACGGTTCCACCAACCCTGGCTCACCCCTTTGTCAAGAAATTTCTGCACTTTCCCGTTCGGTCTTTTCCTTGATTTTTCTCTCCTTTCCTTTCCCTCTTTTCCTCCCTTCTTGTTCTTCAACTGCCCCCTACCTCTCTTGCCCTCTCTCTAGCCTCCCCCTTCCTCTCTCACTTTCCCAGATCCTTTGCTCTCAGTTTTCTTTCTCAGCCCATACTGCCGAAGCTCTCTTCCCTTGTTTTCCTTTTCTCGTTTCTTTCCTTAGTCTTTTCTGGTTTCCCTCGGTTCCTTTCCCTGTAGCTTCCTTTGCCCAAAAACCCTCGGCAATCTCTCTTTCTCTTGCTCCCAGTCTTCCGAAATCCCTTCTCCCATTTTTTTCAGCAAACCCCCGAAGCTCTTCCCGTTTGTTTTTTCTTCCTTTTCCTCAGCCGAGAGCTCTTTTTCTTCTCCAAAAGCTCCTTTCTTTTTCTAGTTTTTTGTTTTCCTCCATTCCTTGGTTCTTTCCCATAGCCCCCTTCAACCTTAGCCAAAAACCTCCTTTCCCTCCCTAGATTCTTGTCTCTCCCCGAAGCTCTATCTCTCACTCTTTTGGTTTGACCTGAAACCCTCAAGCACTCGCCAGAACCTCCTGTTTCTTTTTTCTTTTTTAGTTTTTCAGTCGCCCTTTTCCAGTGCCCCCCAAGATCAAAGCTTTCTTCTAAGCTCCTAAGCTCTCTTCCCTCGTTTTCTTTTCTTTTTTTTCAGTTTTTCTTCTCCCCGAAAACCCCAGCCTTCTTGCTTGCCTTTCTCGCTTTCTTTCTCTCCAGCCGCCACTCCAAATTGTCCTCCCCAAACCCTCTCATTTTGTGGCCTTTTTATAGGCACCAGATACCCCCCAAAACCTAGCATCAATGGTAGTTGTTTGCTGCATTTTTCTGGCCAGAATTTGAGCCCTTAGATGGCTCTTGATTTTGGAAAGATCTTGATATAGATTAGGGGCATGAAGTGACAAATGGTTGGGGAAAAGAAAAAAAGAAGAAAAAAATGGCCGCGATTTCAGAATCTCACCTAAGTCGATATGGGGCAAAGGATATTTGTTATTAATGGTTATGGCATTCAACCCTCGGTAATCAATGCACAACCTTAAACTCCCGTCCTTCTTTTTAACAAATAACACTGGAGCGACTCGCTCTCATGTATGAATTCCCGTTCTAGCAAGTCTTGCATTTGAAATCTTAACTTCTTAAATTCAGCGGGCGCCATCCGATAAGAGGTTTTCGAAATGGGAGTAGTTCCAGGTGCGAGATCAACTTTAAATTCAATCAATCTTTCGAGTGGCAATGACACCAATTCCTCCGGGAACACATCTGGATACTCATTTATCACCGGCAAATCTTCTAGTTTAATCTTTTCTCTTGGGGTGTTTACTAGAAAAGCTAGATAGCCCCGTGCCCCATGACTAAGCAATTTCCTAATCTTTATTCTCGAAATGAGGGCAGATGAGGCTAGAATACCCCACACGTCTAGTTTAAGAGTTGCCTCACCCGGTAAGCAAAACTCGACCACTTTCATATGACAATCTACCCGAACATGATAATGAACTAGCCAATCCATACCTAGAATAATGTCATACCCCTTAATGGCTAGACTTATAAGGTCAACTACTAATTTCCGCTCACCAACCCAAATATCGCAGCTTTTATTCACCTCATTGGCAAGTAAAGATTGGTTACCCGTAGGTGTCTTCACTTCTAGGTCATATGGTAACCTTTCGGCTTTCACATCAATTCCAAACATAAATGCGGCGCTAACAAAAGAATGGGTTGCACCAGGGTCTATCAAAATTTTGGCTAGATGATGGAAAACAGGAATCGTACCTTCCACTACCTCCAATAGTTCAGGTACCGATTGCTGGTCCAAAGGGTATACCCTGGCTGGCACCCTTGACCTAGTCCCTCCTACATTGGTTGGTTTAGGGTTCGATATGCCAGCCGACTGAGCATCACTGATTAGTGGGCAATTGGCAATCTGGTGCTTAGTACTTCCACACCTTAAATATTTTTGAGCTTTTCTCCAGCAATTATCCTCTGTATGGTTCAATTTCCCACAATACCCACACGATACTCGGGGGGCGGAGGTCTGGCCTCCCTGTGGGACACCTCTCTCTTGTCCCCTTCCACTTTGGGCTTCCCTGGATGTACCCGTAAACCTTCCACCTCTAACTCCACGGCCGGCTTTAGGGGGTGGCATGTTCCGATCACTATGTGCCGGCCCTTGATTTCCACCAGATGCCCCTCTCCGTTTTACATGGAAAGTCCTTACTTGTACCCTGGCAATTTCTATTCTCTGAACCTTCTCCAAAACCTCAGTAAAAGTGTTAATTTGGGCCGCCGCCAAGGCCTCCTGTATTTCTACATTGAGTCCCTGTACAAACCTCTTTACCCTTCTTTGCTCCATAACTATCAACTCAGGAGCAAATTTGGATAGTTTCATAAACTGAGTATCATACTCAGCTACACTTAGGGTTCCCTGGCGAATTTAATGAAATCATCTTCCCTCTTTTCTTGAACTATCGGTGGAAGGTATTTCTCGTTAAACTCCCGCATGAAATTCAGCCAGGTCCATGCGGTTCTCTCTCTTTCCCATTTAGCCCTAATTACGTTCCACCAGGCTCTCGCTGGTCTCTCAAACTGAAAGATAGCAAATTGCACATGCCAATCCTCCGCAAAATTTAAAACAGCGAATATATTGATCATTGTTTCTAACCACCTCTCAGCCACTTCACGGTCCGGCCCTCCCAGGAACTTAGGAGAGAAAAACTTTTGAAATCTCTCTAGGACCCTATCTTGCCCCATTTCAGGATCCCTAGGTTGATTCACAGGGGCTTGACCCTATTGCTCTACCAATCGAGCAAGGATATTAGTCATCTATTGAATCGCCTCCTTCCGCTTGGGGTCCAGGTTGCGGCTCAACTGTTTCACCTCTTTTCTCTCTCGGTTCTTGCACCGATTCCTGTGCCTGTCTACCCCCACGGCCACGGTTAGAATCGCGCCCTCAAGTAGCTCCCTGATCATGACTTCTTCTACCTTCCATGCTTCTTGACTAATCAACTATATAAATATAAACAAAATAAAGTACAGCTCAAATAAAACATTTTCAAAACATAAAGCAGAGGCAATAACACACATTTTAAATAAACATGTCCTTTATACACAGAGCCAACGAGTTAGAAAGTACTGCACAAGCCAAGGGACATAGAACAAAAGAAAACCCAATATACATCTACCTTAACACGTCAAATTCAAAAACAAAAGAGGACGTGTCATCCCACTCTGTCCCTAACTGTGAGGACCCGTAAAAATTCTTATTTTTATCGAATATTATTGGTTTATTTAAATATTTATTCCCCTATTTTCTCCAAATAATTTATTTCAACCTTCTTATATTCAATTACATAGAATTATGGCTCACATGTATTTTTAAAATGACTTTATTCCAAAATTTAATTTTTGAAAACTCGTTAAGTGAGAATAGTGAATACGCGTTTGGAGACAATAGCCGATTTGAGAGTACAATGACCTTGGAAAATTGGAAACTTGTACATTAGTTTTAAAATAGGTATTTTTATGTTTAAGTGCTCAAGTGTTAATTAGTTATACCATCGTTATAAGAAATTCTTAGAGATTCCACTTTATCGCACACAACTCGGGAGTATGCGTTTTTACGCGCGCGATTAATTGAAGGACTTTAGACCTTTATTATTAGACCATTAAGAGTGAATAATAATAGTATGAATACAAGTGCATTAGAGGTTTAGTGCACAAATTAAACAAACTCGAGAGGAATCGAGCACGAAACGCGCACTACCCTTAGTTGACTTTTGGAGCATTTTCGGCCACACATTCTTAAGTTTCTCATGGAAGCATCACACCAGATCAAAACCCTTCTCTTCATCACCTCAAGTGGCACTGAAACTATTCCTTTCTTCCTCTTAGCAGCCGTGCACTCCATGGAAGAAAAAGACTAACAATTCTCTTCATTTCACCTCACAATTCTTGCTCAAATCACCTCAAATTTTACGTACAACTTGCTAAACACTTGGTGAACAACCTAAGCTACGAAAAGAGCTTGCTTTCCATGGTTTTCTTTAGCTATCAAGGGCCGAAAATTTCTGCTTGAGTCACCAACAAAGGTAATCAACGATCAACCTCTCAATTCTTAGTTTATGGAAGCTACCTTGCACTTATAAGCTCATATAGTCATGTGGGTAACTTTATTTTTGTTGGCAATTGGATGTGTGGCCTCTATGAACTCCCACTATGGCTTGATGGACTGATTTTTTGTGTTTTGATGTTATTAATATTGGATTAGTGTTTAATCTAGTTGAAATAGGTTGTATTATTGAAGGAAAACTCAAAGGAAGTGATGAGGGAATTTTTCCATTTCTGCCCCTGTACATGCCGTGGCCCTTAGAGCAAATTTTTGTGGTTCCAATGACTTTTTTATGATGTATACATGTTGTGTGGGTTGTGTAGAAAGTTTTATAAAAAAATTTCATGATTTGGTTGGACAAATGTTGTGTTTTCGGAAGTCAGCAAAAACTGGAAATTTTTCCGTAACTGGTCTGGCAGTGTTTTTGTTTTGGCTATAACTTTTTGCTCCGATGTCGAAATCGAGTGCCGTTTGTGGTAATAGAAACTAGACATTCCCATATTTCCAAAAATATAAAATGTACATTCGGATTCCACCTGAGTAGTCCATACCAATCGTTTGAACATGACTGTCCTGTTTTGCGTCTACACTGGGAGCTCTGTTTTGAGCAGCACATTTATGCTCAAATATGAGCTAGCTGTGGACAGATTTTGAGAACGATTTCTTCTAAAAAATTATAGATTTATGAATGTAGTTTTCAACGCCACTAACCACATTCAATTCCAAGTTGAATTGAGTGAGTTGTGACCAAAATCCAAAACTGACTCAATGATTTGAAGCCCTCTTTTTGGCTAGTAAATGCCTAAATCTTGATTGGGACTTGTTGTTTTGAAATTTTTGGTGTTGATCACCTACCGAATATATCTTGGATGTTTCTTAGACATTTTCTGCACAAATGGACCATGTTTGAGACATTTTGTTGGCCAAACGTTTTGAAAACAAAAAACGGGACCACAAGGCAGTTTTGCCTTGGAAGTTCTTGGAGTTTTAATGATTTTGTTAACCCACTTCTCGTACATATTTTTCTATGAAATTTAATAGAGGGGTAGTCCTCATATGGAAGTTGAATTGTACCAATTTTGGTGTCAATCTAAGACAATTTCGATATACAAATGATGTCCCAAAGTTGCTCTTTGAATCTGGAAAACTTTTCCTTTTCTCTTGGCCGAATGGTCAAACCTGATTTGGGGAGTTATATTTCGAAAATTGTGACGTCCATTACCTTTAAATTGCTTAGTGGATGTTTATGGACTCTTGGTTTTGAAAATGGAGTGATTTAGAACTGATTTCATTGCACAAAACGTTTGCAAGCAAAAGAAAAGTGAGAAGGCAGATTAGCCTTGAAATATTTCTTGAATTTTGGTTGTTCTAATGATTGCCTTCCCGTGGGAATTTTTGTATGAAACTTGGTAGAAATGTTGTTCACACATGGAAGATTTAGTGTACCAATTTTGGTGTATTTCTAATGCCAAATCAATGGCCAAATGATATTTCAAAGATAGTCTTTAAATCTGAAAATTGACGGAACAGTTTGCGAAATGTGACCAACTTTGGACTGATGTCTCTCAATATTCAAAACTCCAATTCTTGTTCCGGTTATTGTGTTGAAAAATTTGATTATAACACTAATTAATTTCCAAATTTCAGAGGCTAATTCGCATTGTGTGAATTTTACAGAATTTCCAAACTTTGCCGAAAATCAACCCAAATCTGTCTTGGTATTCCAAAACAGCCATTTTGAACGCCATTTTGAATGTTATCCATTTGGAATCATGGAAAAGTGTCTTCTAGGAACTTTTAGTACTTTGGAAGAAGTTTCCAACAGTACCAAGTTTTCTAATTTTGGACTTGTAATGAGTGAGATACGATTTTTCAAAGATCTTGTATCAAAGTTGAAATTTTCGAAACTTAAGGAAATGGAGTTTTTCGAATTCTCCTTTTTCCCTCGATATCACTTGAACGTTTTATACTTGATTTTGAAGATGAAAACTCGATTTCTCTTGTGCTTTAAAAACCCCACTTTTGAGCCTTGATTCACGAGTAATTTAGGCTCGCTTTCGTGAGATTTTCTTGGATTGTACAAGCGTACAATCATTCGTCATAATTAGGGTATATAAATGATAGTTCACTATTAATTGCTCAGGCTCGCGCGAGAACCTTTAAGAGAATTCCATGGTGGACGCCTGAAAGTCAAGTGACATTTCTTCTTTGTTTATTTGGTGAGTGTCAAGTATGTGTTAAATGCTTATGTGATTGAGATATTAGTTGTACAAGTGTTATACATGATACGTAAACTTGCCGAGCCGAGTGTGTACTTTATCGCACTCATTCTCATTTGAAATAAATGTGACCTGACTTGACTTGCTTGACCTGACTTGTCTTGACCTGACCTGACTTGCTTGACCTGACATGACTTGACTTGGAAAACATGTTATGGCTGCATAAGTCGATTGGAGCGATGTCTCATCGACCTCTGAACGATAGCAAGTACCATACCGATTTGGTGGGAGGTACCTCTCGAATTGTCTCAGACCTATTAACTGAACGATTGTAAGTACCACACCGATTCGGATGGGAGGTACCTCTCGAGTCGTCTCAGTACCCTAGACCTCTGAACGATAGCAAGTACCACACCGATCCGGGTGGGAGGTACCTCTCGAATCGTCTCAGAACCCTAAAGCATTCTAAATCGATTGGGGCGATGTCTCATCGACCTCTGGACGATAGTAAGTACCACACCGATCCGGGTGGGAGGTACCTCTCGAATCGTCTCAGAACTATAAACTGAACGATAGTAAGTACCACACCGATTTGGGTGGGAGGTACCTCTCGAGTCGTCTCAGAAACATACATGGAATACGTGAAGGGTTACGAACTCAATTACCTACCCGTGTGACGGGGTGTCGTCACGAGAAGGTATTAAAAGTGAACTTGGGCAAAGTAAGAAATCATTAGCTCCGGAGAGCTTCTGCATCTTACTCAAGGGTGTTTATTATAAATTGTGAAATTCCTTGAATGTTATAGTTTACACTATTGTTCAAGTGCTATTGCTATTGAATTACTTGTCTTGCATATTTTCTTGGCCTCACGAGCATCCGCTCACCCCGTTAGATTTGTTTTCCTTAACAGGAGCTGAAATGGGAGGAAGTCTGGAGAAGCTTACTTGATGCTCCATTTGATTAGAATTGTGAATGTAATTGTTTAGAATTTGACTTTTGGAAGCTGTATATTTTAGGAATGTAAAG